ATATTATTATCAATGTATTATTTATAGATGGAATATAAAAATGTTTGGTTTATTTTAAATATTTTATGTCTGAACTATAGTATTGCGGTATGCAATATTCACAATGTTATATATTAGATACAAAAAACCCAATGTTCGAGCGTGGCTTGAAAAAATTTTTTGATCATAACTCTATACAACACAAATACATATATTGGCCTGCTGAACAGTTTTTGGCTTTCCTGGTTGTTAGCATATCTCAAAAAATAAAAAAAAGGTTGAAATGACGTCCCCGACGTGCATACGATAGTTTTCACATTCAACTGCATCATTATATTATTATTAAAGGTCGAACGAACGACTTACGTCCGTGCTTGAGACACTATAAAAATCGAATTGCAAGCGCGCAGCAGTGCACTTACTAATAAAAATAATAACTATTACAATAAAATGTTTACGGTTAACAATAATGTTACGGGTGTAAGTAATACGGCCATATGGGACGACGTAAGTTTTCGAAATCAAGTGTAGCATTTATCATCCGCGACGAGACTTCGGTCGGCAAATGGCTCGTGACCGGAACGGAATCTTAAACAGCGCGGAGCCAGACCGGAATACCTTCAAAGCTCTTTGGCAACTCGATATTAGCAGTGACGGAGCAGGGCAGGAGGGGGGTGGGGCGGTAAGGATAAAAATATGGCCGTAACTTTTGCAAAATTATTACTATACACCATGTAACAATACACAACGTGGTATATTATATGGTCTGCGAAAATGCGATTCTGATGCGGTTATGATGCGATGTGCTATATATCGACGACAGAGCCTATAACATTTTTTCGTGCCACCAGTGGTCGATGGGTGTATACATTTTTCTATACGTTTTCGATAGGAGTCTAACTCGAAAAGATTCCAATGCAACTTGCCCGCGTCATTCCCCTGAAAACAATGTCACAATTATAATAACATACACAAACGCTGCAGATTATAAACTGAATAAATACATTATGCGCCGCCGGTTTCGGGCTATAGGAATTTAACAGACACATTCAGAAAATAATATTCCACTCTAAAGCACGAAACTTAAAAGGATTTTCATTTAAACAAAAAAAAATATATATTTGCATAATATACGTTTAACAGAAAACGTATCAGGTTTTTAACCTTTCTGAAAAAGAAAAAAAAACACCAAATGCAAATTAACGTTTGCAAATAAAATATAAATTATAATAAAAGTAAATAATACATGAGATCGTCAAAAAATATTATAATGTATGAGCCATGAGGGTGGTTGTTGTTGTTGTTGTTGTTGAAAAAAGGTCGTATACGGTTAAAGTGAACATTTGTGGATTGGATCAAGTAAATTATACGTCACATTTTCCATAAGAGTGTATAAGGCACGAGCGTTATTATTGACCATCGAGGTTAATTATAACCATTGACCGTACCCGCGGTAATATCGTAGCAAGTGGGCGAGGGCTTAGGGTGAATTGGTCACCCCCAAAACTATAGGCCAAGTCCCACAAAATCAAGTATACCTGCGTATAAGCAACTGAGTAAATGATAGAATTTTTCTACAATTCCTTCCGACTGCGGGTGCCAAAAAAAAAAAAATGAATTTAAATCGTGTGTTTGTTGTACCCATCATACGATGGTATCTCTGATAGGTCATATTCTATTATTATAATCGTACAAAAACACGGACAATGAGTATGGTCGGTTTTTCGGTCTAGAAAATGCGGTAAGAGGACACGACCCGACCGTGTAATATTTTACCACAAATGTCGCCTCTCACACTCGCGCTGAACAGACACAAAATAAACGTCGAATGAAAACGATATGTACCTAATGTTCCCACACATATATATATATATATATATATATATATATTGACGTAAACAATAATATCGTATTTGCATATACATCGATAGCTATATATATATTGTATAATATGCTTCTCGTCGTTCTCGGTCGTCGGGGACTCGGCCGAAAAAATTATGTTATTTGCGTCCACTTTTACGAATAATAATTACCCACCTACGACGTATATTCGATCGAACAAGTCGTCAAGAACCGTTTGACTTTGCAGTAATAGAACGGTATTTACACGCGTATTTGAATTTGCATTTTCGACGTGCATAATATTAGCAGCGTGCGTTCGTGGGTAGTCAGGTACGACGAGGTACTTAATATTTCGATGGCGGCGGACGAAACTCAAACGGAACTCAAACTCTAGTCAAACGACGACGCCCTTTTCGTTTCGAAAACGTTTTCGATTTGTTGCTTTTTCGAAAATACGCAATAGAAAACAATGCTTATTTTTCGATTATATTATTATTCAAAAACTAATGCGGTTCCGATATCGACGCGTGGCAATGGTAACTAATATAAAATATAATATAATATAGAGTACTCGTTAATTGGCATTTTTATCATATTACACCGTGTATAATAGTATCATCGTTCAACTCTCGAGAAAAATGATTTCGTTATGTACATATTCGGGGAAAAAGAAACTACGCACCAAGTATAATTTTGTATTACTCTCTAAAAAGTATACTTTATCAAACCCCCGGAAATAACGTTATTTTGGCGTTTTTGTTGTTCTTATTTTCTATATTCTGTTTCGTGTAAGATTAACACTGTATACATATAAGAATAAGGGGTTGAGAATAATGACCTCGGCCTATTGTGTTGAATTGAACGAAAGTTTGTTTGACGTATAATATCCGTTTTCTTTTAAACCTAATATTTACTTTTTAGGCTCGTTCGGAAACTGTACACGAAATTCGAGTCCATACGATATTTTCATACGATCAACAGCCAATAGGTATTAATTGTATACGAAATAATTTTGAAAAGCGGTTAGAGCTAAATGACTGTTCGTTGTTCTTTTTGACTATAGTGATTCATTCACAATGAGTGTATCAAACAACGATAATTGAAATACTTTGAATGCCGGCGAAACCCTCTGACAATATAATAATCGTCAAATCTTAGTAAACTCGCCGAAAACCCGAATTTTGGTATTTTATAATTTTGCATAAGTCAATTCTCAACCCTATAGTTTTTGAAAATCAAACTACACGTCAGTCGAAGAGATATAATATTAAATGCGCACCCCACGATTTTATTAAATAATAATAATAATAATAATATTATATGTAATTGGAAAGTTGGAAATATTTATCACGAAAAAATAATTAATTAATGCGTACCTATATACTTGTCCTACCTACTTGTTATACCACTGAATTCCGCTAATTTTTTAGATTTCAATCGAAAAACTGTATTTTACAAAGTGGATGGGTGCTAATACAAAACATTCTTATATTATACGATAGGTACCTACTAATAAGTGTCTGTGTTTAAAACTACATAATTATTTATATTTCACTTACATTACAATTCGTAATGATTTCACCGTCGATTTCGATATGTTCAACTGAAATAATGACACTAACGTGCCAGTAATTATAGTTCGGAATGTTTATACCTTGCTAACAATGTTTTTCAATGTCCTAATGGAATTTTTGGTCGAATGGCCATTTAAAGTTAATAGACGAGGAGTTACGCAGTTTCACGCGTATTAAATTGTTTAATCAAGTTTTTTGCGTTTTCAATTCGTTTTTATCGTATTATTTTTGAAAACATTCCACGGCGACTTTAATTATTGTTAAACGTAGTTATTTGACAGATTCCACATAGGGTCTATCGTTTTTCACAGTTTACGAAATTACATTTCAGGTAATTTCATTAGTGGCCGACGGCCGTTATAGTCATAATAAATGTAGCTGTGGTCGTCCGTTTTTGGTATTTTGTTTTATTTTTGCTTTTGATTAAAGATATCGTAATTATTAGAGGGCTGTCGTTTCGTTCACGGAGGAGTTCGTGATGTTTATTGAGTGCATATACAGGTACCGATATGAATTGTCGTTTACATCGTTTACAAAAATCGATTTCACGTATTTCGTGCCGTCATTATTATTTTAGAACTACGCCATGCCTTCGTACACTATGAGTGTGGAAAAAGCACGTTTTAACGGAGCGTAAAATAAATAGCACATTAACAAAATAATAACGAACAAAAAAATAATACACCCAGGAAGTTTTATGAAAGGATCTTTTTTTTTTTTTACGGTTAATGTTTGTCCACGGGTCCTTAAACTAAAAAACAAAACAAAACAAAATAGAGCTTTTTCGACCATTTTTATTCGTCCGTACGTATATAATTATTATACATATACGAATCGCCGAATGAGACATGTCAAACACGTGTTGCTTTGGAACTATTAAAATATTCATTTCGCACGCGTTCTCGCACAATGGCGCCGCTCTCGTGAGCATTATAGGCGGTCAATTATTATAATGATAACATAAATAATGTATAATGCAATATACCTACGGCTCACAGATATCATGTCCGACTTCTCGTACCTTGTACTAGGTATGTGGTATGACCGGGTATATACCCAGGTATAAACTCGAACTCATGACTCGCGGTTACCTATACATATATATATATATATATACACATTATAATGTATATAACTCTATGAGCGCACACGTCGAACCTGCAGATCAAACGGGTATGGACACGCGGTGACCGCGGTTACCGGTAGAGTTAGGGTGCGGCGGCGTTCTCTTGTGTGTTTACACGACCACGAAGCGAACACGATACCGGCTCGAGACGGGCGACGGTCCGCGTCGGATCGTGTTGCAGGGAACGGGGTATAGTGAGGCCGGTTACCCGAACACCACTGCGGTTATAATGTTTACGTAATTACAAGACAGTGTTACTTATACATAAATGTCTACGACCCGCAGCGATTTATAGAAATTGATTTTCTCGGCGGTGGTGCTCGGGCAACGTTTAATACTCTTACGATTTAAACACCAGTGGGTAAATGGTGATGAGTGATGAGTGATGACACTAGTGGCGGTGATGACGACGACGACGGCGACGATGATCGCGATAGGTAATGCATTACGATAATAATATCGTGCAGAGTATCGTCTCGACACGATTTCAGAGTTCAAAAAAAAAAAAATATGACAAACACCCACCTGGCCGTGTACCGGTCCGTGTCTCCGTGGTCCGGGTCCCTGCTCTCGTTGAGCGAGTCGCCAAACACGTCGCGGCACAGGGCCACGCGGCCACATATCAGGATCCGGGGAATCTTGCGGAAGTTGACGTCGGACAGCCCGTCCCGGCCGAACGCGAACGTGCCGCGGTAGCCGACGGTGATGTAGCCGGGCCTCTGTTCGCGGAGCCGCTCGGTAAGGCCGTCCAACCTGTAGTAGGCCGCCTCCAACCGGAGCCGCTCTTTCTCCCGGAAGCTCTCCGGCAGCGACAGCTTGCCGTCCCGCAGAAAGTCCAACACGTACCGGAACAGCACGCCGTCCCGGTCGATGAAGTACCGGCCCTTGCTGTCCTTGGGCAGTGGGTCCAGCCGGCCGCTGAACCGGTCGGCCAGCAGCGACGGTTGAGCCTGCACCAGCGTGGACGCGGCCGTCGTGTAGAACACGCCGCCGACGTTCAGGTCGACCACCTGGTCCATCGCCGTGCGAGATCTGTAGTTCTCGGTGACGACGACAACGACTTTTTAGTCGCGGATACGAGTGTCTGCTCTGCTTTCGAGACACGTTCACCAACACGCCCCGCGCGTAAATATTATTTATAATACAGCGATGTAATATATAATATAATTATGATCGTGATGCTGCCGAAGACTGTCGGAGGGCGGTTTTAGTCGTACAATAATCTATATAATATTATGATATATCGTACGAGAACACGATAATATACGACGACACACGGCGACGATGTTATGGTGATGTGAGTAATATCATATACGCGCGTTCACGACGACGACACACCGACTGTAACCGCCGCCGCCGAAGCCGCCGCTACCACCGGTGGTATACGCTGACTGACCGGAACGCAAAGCGCACGCCGCCGCCGCCGTCTCACTCTCGCGCCGCGGTGGTATAAGTCTAACCGCCTCGCTCTCCTCGCCGACTCGCCGAGAGGCGCGCGCGGGTGGCCGCGCTCGTCGCGCGTAATCAATATACACCGCCGCCGCCGCCGCCCCGTCACATGCCGTCCCGTCGCCGCCCCGCGATCACGACGCTTGCGCCGCAGTCGCGCGCGTCGCATCCGTCGCCGTTGCCGCCGCGGCCACGGCCGACCGACGTAATCGCGCGAGCGACCCATCTTCGCCCGTCCTCGCCGCGCCCGACCGTCCTCCGACACGCGCGTTCGACGCAGCCGTCGCGTGCGACATATTTCGATTTAATTAAAAAGAATCACCGCGAGACGCGCGAGACCGCCTGCAGCACCTCCTGCACGGCGCGGCGGTATAATAATAATATTAATACCGCGGTTAGGCGCGGTACATGCGATGCGGACCGTATAGTGCGCCACCTGCACCACTGCCGACGTTTCGAACGAGGGAAACGCTGCACATCCCGACGACCCTCCGGTCGTCGTCATAACATTATATTGTCATGGCTGTCAGCCGTCGTCGCGTTCGTGTCCCCAGACGAACAAGCAGGTCCGTGTGGTCCAGCGTATACACAGTTCCAGACCATATTATTATATTACCGGTATACACACCGCAGTCGGAACTGCCGCGAGTCCGAGCGTGGCCAGATGATCATATATATATAGTGTATTTGACCTGAGCCGATGTCACCTCATACATTATTGTGGTCCCTTGTGTTATCATCGTGAAAAATAATCATCCAAACCACCGCAATCCGAATAAAAACACTTCGTCCCTTTTCGGCTCACCGCCCTCTACCGCTTTGTCACCAATTCGTTCTAAAAATAAAACATTGTTATATCAACGTTACTATATCCTATATCTCAAACGTAACCGTGGTTAATCGACCCACACCGCTGCACGTATTGCATACGCCCAAACAATTGAGTGCCCTGCGTCGGCGCCCATTGGGGGGGGGGCAAGACGGGGCACTTGCCCCCCCCCCCTGGAAAAAAATATTATGAACTTGTAGCTCAATAAATATTACCACAATATTACCTTATTACCGAAATTTTT